GTATGATGTTTTTAAAGTCTCAAACACATATTAACCAGGGTTAATACTTAATTTTTAGAATTGATATTCTTAAAGACAAGAGAAGCAAGTCGAACTCGTTTCAATCTTCCTTGAGGAACAGTGGAATGAATCAACGTCCCCATATCTGATTTTCCCTCAAGAAGGAGTGGAACAGATCCATCTCTTTTCAAATTTGATTTCCCTGAGTAACAGCGGAACAAGTCTGCCTCGATTCAATCTTCCCTGAAGAACAGTGAAATGAATAAACATTTTCAGATCTTATTTTCCCTCAAGAAGAAGCGGAATAGATCTATCTCTTCCAAGATTTGATATTCCCTAAGTAACAGTGGAATAAGTTTACATCGATTCAATCTTCCCTGAGTGATAGTGGAATGAATCAATATCCCCAAATCTCATTTTCCCTCAGGAAGGAGCAGAACAGATCCCTCTCTTTTCAAATTTGATATTCACTGAGTAACAGTGGAACAAGTCTACATTGATTCAATCTTCCCTGAGTGACAGTAGAATGAATCAACGTCCCCATATATGATTTTCCCTCAGGAATGAACGTAACAGATCTATCTCTTTTCAGATTTGATATTCCCTGAGTAACAGTGGAACAAGTCTGTATCGATTCAATCTTCCCTGAGTGACAGTGGAATGAATCAACATCCCCATATATGATTTTCCCTTAAGAAAAAAAGAAACATATACTACTTTTTCAAGATTTGATATTCCCATAGTATCAGTAGAATAAGTTTGCCTCGATCTGATCTACCCTGAAGAAACAGTAGAACAAATCCCTTATCAGATTTCAATGCATGGAGTCGACCGGACGAAAACTCATTGTCTTATCGTCTTTACCCTATTCTTGTTAACATAAGAATGAGCAAAGAGGGGCAGTTGTCGACAGTGGTTTAAGGCCCGACTTTATATTATTATTATTATTATTATTATTATTATTATTATTATTATTATTATTGGCATTTATTTTAATTCCTTTGCAGGCTATTACAACAAGTCAAACCAGGCCCAAATTACATCAACAGGCCCAATCTGGCCAAACAAAAACAGACAAGCCCAAATTCAACCCAGTTACAACCCAGACCCAGACAGACCCAACCCGGACCCGGTTTCAACTACACCAACCTTCTGCGAACACCTTGCTGCTACTTGCCATGCCTTCCACCACCATCCCGTGCCCATACTGCTCTATCTCCCCAAAACTACTGCAACACTCTACGCAACAAATCAACAAAAATATGTTTTTATTCTAACAAGTAATGGGATATAAGGGAACTCAAAAACATATTGTAAAGGGGAAAATTCGAAGGATGATACAAGAAAATCGAGGAGGAGCACCATTCGGAAAAAAAAACAATGTAAAAAATGGACATTATTTGGAATAAAAAACAGAAACAATTTCCAACTAGAGGGATTCTACCCACTGTTTTTTTTTCGTTTTGGATATACATGTTTGATCATTCTAATATGACAATAGAAAGGGTTAGAGGGAGAACTTATCTCCCTGCTGTTGGGCTTTTTTGGAACCAAAGGAGACGTCGAAGTGGGGAGACAAATCATCTGTAAAACGAAAGAAGAAAAGAAGGTGAGAACGAAATAAAAAAAAAGAGAAATAACTTACCTATTCGACCGGTGAGAGATGACAACGATAGGTACTCCGTTCGAAGATCCGAATGCTCAAAGGGGAGAACAGGGGTCAATGAACATTATACCTCGGAACCAGAGTGATCCAACGACTGACGACGACGAATCAAAAATAGGAAATTCGAACGATCTTTAGCCATTTCACGACGTTCGGAGCGTCCCCTAGGGAAACAGACCCCAGATTCAAACTACCCTCGTATAGACAAGTCTAGCGATATAATTTGGTGGCTAACGACCACCGACGATAACGACGGCGCAGTAGTCGGGCCGACGACCAGTCGACTTTTTAGAGAGAATGAGACCCTCTCTTTTTAGGATATTTTTAAAAAAAATAAATGAAAATAATAAAAAAGGAAAAGTTTGTATTTATAGAAAACTTAGGAGAAATTTCACTTAGGTCCCCCTGAGTTATGCATATTTTTGCAAAATGGTCATCTGTAGGGACTATTTTTGTAATTTACCCATTTCTCATCATGTTATATATTTTTGGTTTAATTTCTGTTTAGCTCCTGTATATTTATGCGTGTTTTACATTTTGGTCATGTGTTGTGACTTTTAATTTTTTTTAAATACTTAGGGACTAATTTAGTGATTTTCTCTTTTTATTTCTTAGCACTAACTTTTTGGCTTATTTTCTTCCATGTCCCTCTACTTTATGCGCGTTTTTCCATTTCAATCAATGGTCCTCTATTTATTTTATTTATTTAACTTAGTGCTATATTTTGTGATTGTTTTAATTTAGTCGTTTTTATTATTCTAGTTCATTCGAAATTAGTTACTGATTTTTACATTATTTTCATTTTGGTCACTGTTTGTGTTTTGTTTATTATTTTATTATAATTTGGATACGATATCTTCAATTTATGCATTTTAGACACCGATTGATTATGATTTGGCTATTGTTTTTATTTATTTATTTCATTTTAGTCCCATTTCGCTTGTCATCTTATTTTTTAGGATTATTTTAATTTGAGTGCCTTACTTTAAATATGTTTGCCTAGTTTATTTACGATTGCAGTGCCTAGTTTGTAAAATATTTGTAATGGTTGCCTTAATTTCTTGTTGGTTTTATAGTTTAATCCCTAAAATCTCCATATTTATTATTTTGATCCATCATTTATATATTTGTTAACTTCCCGCTAGTTGTTATATTTTCAAATATTATTTTACCAGAGGAATTTATAGAAACACGTCTTAACCGACAAGGAATGTGTTTACAAGAATTGTTCAAACAAAATAATACCTTTTATATATTCGAATGAATTTTTTTAATATATTTAATATAGTTTTTTATCTAAAATTTGGACAATATTATTTTGTATGAGGAATCTATGGAAATGCCCCTTAACTGTCAAGGAATGTATTTCGAGAATTGTTCATGCAAAATAATACTCTTTATATTTTTCTAAAAAGGATCATAATTTAAATGTATATTCGAATTTGTAAATTTCAATATTTAGATGACATATAATCGTTTAGGTACCGATTTCAGGTGTTCTGGGGGTGCTAATCCTTCCCCACGCGTAATCGACTCCCGTACCCTTTTTCAAAACGAATTTCTAGTTAAACGCAAATCACTTTTTATCTTTTAAAATTATTTTTATTAAAAATTTTTAAAATGTATTTTTAGGTATTCGACCTACCTAACCCAAAGGTCGATGATGACTCCAAATCTATTTATTTGTTCTTTATTTTAAAACACAACCTTTTCCAAGATTAAGTTGGATTACTTCCCGTTATAACCCTAAAAAGCTTAAGTATCGTTCCGACAAAGACATTGTTTAATAAAATATCCAATTTTGGTAAGATAATATGGTTTCACTCGCAACACTTATACCCATATTTGATCTCTATAAATTGCTTTTGTAGTCATTTGACCAAACTTCATTGAAACGAAAAAGACAGTCATGGAAGAACATCAGAGCTGTACAATAAATACTCAAGTTGTATGCTCTTGATTAAAAATGTTCGAATCCTTATTTTTAATTTAAATTTGTGGTTAGATAAATTAAAAAAATAAATTTAAAATTGGATAACTCTGATTTCAATTTTAAAGATATGAATTTAATATTCAATTTAAGGATTTGAAATTTGTAAAAACAAAAATATTATGAAAGCTACACCATTATTATAAACTGATGCTGAATATTCAAAAACAAACTACTGGTGTTGATTTGTTCTGGTATTTGTCAATATGGTTAGATGTATTACTTCGGATTGAATCAATATTTTTAAAATAATTTCCACATATATTCTAATTTTTAGTTTGTTAACAGATTACATATTATATATGCACGCATAATACATAAAAGTATATTTATATATAAAGATATATTTTAAATTTATTAATAATGTTTAATAATTTAATTATTATATTCTATTTTTAAATATAATTAAAAACTAATTTAAAATACAAAAATCTTGTACAAACAACTAACTATAATAAATAGATATCAATATTGACCAAAACGATCGAAACACGTACATTTAATCAAAACGATAATTAAAGATTTCTTGATACTGATTTAAGATGAAAACAACATTCTCAGAACGATACGATCAAATATCCGTATGATAAAGCAACCACCAAAGATTCAAACCTTACATTCAAACATTTTAAAGAGGTTGATACTGCTCCACAACTATCAGGGTCAAGGACTGACTGACAGCCCGGTCGTCATTTTTAAAATTATCAAATTATCATATATTTTCTGTATTTTTTATTGATAATATGTTTTCGCCCCTAAAATTTTATAAGTTCGTCAGCCTAACATAAAATCATGAGTCCGTACCTGATCAGAGCAGCCACATGCGCCAAAAACATGAGAAACAGACTCCACAAATCTAACATTAGCTTCACTGATCTCCTCTTAGGTGGAATTACAGTGATACCAAGTTGAAAGAATAGGTTGGTCATTTTCAACGTCAACCCCAAACTGTTCTTAAAACTGGCTCAGCTCCATCTTTGTACGGAAAGAAACTCCAAGACTAGCAAAGCAAGGAAGGCAAAGAGTCTCGGACAGGAAACCGGTTGAGAGCCAGGATGTTCGACCAGAGGAAGATTTTATATATAAAGGGAATATTCGTTAAATTATTACTCGAGCTGAGACATAAAAGCAAGGTCTAATATTCTACTTAGCATTCAATTTAGCTATCCAGTTAAAACAGTGATTCATTGTTGAAACAGATAACATCAAAAGTACAACATGAACAAATAAACTTTTATAAATCCAGAACCAGTTTCAATATTTTTCTAATTAATATATATATATATATATAAAACAAGAACATACAACAGTAAGCTCACCCAGTGAATGAGTGAAATGATGCAAAAAGAAAAAGAACATTATCCTTTGAATTTTCATAAACAAAAACAGGTTGTTCGGTCAGAGTTTTCTACACAATTATACAACTTTTGCTTCAGATAATCCCTCTCTAAACTATGTAGTTCTCATAGTACAAATCTAACATTTTGCTTTCATCAATCCCCTGTTAGTGGAAGATTTTCAGAACCAAAGAGATCTAACCTTTTTCCCCGATCCCAACGAAAAGTACACATGGTATTTGGTAGTGCCAAAGCAGAAGAAAAAATAATCGATATCATCTACATCACAGCTATGTACCAAATGACAGCAAAATGTAATTAAGTTCTACAGCATACCAAGATATCCGTTTCCCTGCAGAAAAAATGAAATGAAAATAAGTTGTCATTTGGAGATACCTGTAAAAAGGCATAAGAATTACACCATGAACTCTGAATCTTGTTATGTCCTCCAAGTGAAAGGCTCTTTCTATGTCTTCATCTGAATAGCATTCAACTTCTCCTCCAAATGTAGAGTACTGGCAGCAGTTAGAAGCATGTCCACCCCACCTCTACTTTTATCTGACTCCTCTTCGTTTTTCTGATTTCGACTTGTTTCCTGATTATCACATGCCAGTTTGCCGCCTATGCCTTTCCTTTTTAGTTTATTTTCCTGGTTGTGATACGCCCTTTTAGCTTTGCGTATTTGCTGGATCCCAGCTTCACATTTTCTGCAAAACCATTTCCCTTTGGGTACTGAAGTTTTCGGTGGTTTCATGCAATAAATGTGGTATGCAGCATCACAGCCGTCACATAAAACAATCTTATCATCATCTTTGTCGATGAGGCAAGTTCTACACAGACAAGAAGGACAGTACCAAAGGGAATAATATGATTTTAACTGTTTCGTCGTCAGGCACCTCACGTGATAATATTTCTGGGGGCAGTAGGGATGCTCACAACTCCTTAACTCTTCACCTTGTTGAACAGCACTTCCGCAAATTTTACAATCATGTTGGGTTTTGTTCTCTTGTTGCAATAGCCCCTGGTCGATGGTACGGTTTGAATTTTCTCCCAGTTCAGTAAATGTTTCACAGTGCGCATTATGATTTTCATCAGCGGCATCTTTGTTGAGATTCTCTGGGGCATTCAGTCTCTCACATACCACACAGTCCTCATGCGGAGATCCTATTCCCTTTTCCGTACAGCAGGCACAATACCAACTTTTCAAAGGAAACTCCTTCACAGCACACTTAATACAGGCAACGTGGTACATTACCTCACATGAACCACAAACTAAACAATCCTTCCCATCTGTTTTCTCCCCACAACGCCTGCAAGTGCAAACTTTATACATACCACAAGTTTCAGTTTGCTCTAATTTAACAAGAGGTTCCGACTCCTGAGTACAGAACTGTGTTTCATAGAAAAAAATATCTCTCAGAAATGAAACTCAACCTTCAAAGAAAATTCTTAAAATATACATTGATATAGCTTGCAGGTAATACAAATTAGAAGCAAGAGGAAAACAGTTCAGGACAGAATCCTCCTACTGCCTTAAAACCAAGGTGCTATACCACCAAATGATAAATTCAAATATCCATCAAAATGCTCTACGAATACCAAATTCATACAGCAGACCCATCAAGTAAAAAGCAGTAACTCAATTGGAATCTGTCCAAGCATAAGAACAGTAGAAATTCCAGGGTCTTATCTTAATTCCTGAATCAGCTATATCCAACTCTTAAGCACCAAATGCACCCTGAACTACCTAACACAGATATTTCCTTTTGATACAAAATAGCTTATATGTTTAAATGCACCTACAACTCAAATTTGAAGTTAGAACAATGAGTTATGTTGATGCAAGTATTAAAATGAAAACCATAAGCTAATTCATGAACGTTTACCTCACATTTCTATATGTTAATTTACAAATGTTTACCTCACGTTTCTCTTCTTCGACAGCAACACCAGAACAGCCAATCTGAAAGGTTGAAGAAAAATCACCTCAAAGATTCATTATCAGCTATAAAGTCTTTAAACAAATTACAAAAATTCAAATTACTATAGCAGTAGCATGTATTTACTAGCTCACTTTTTCATGATAAGAAGTGCTTGATATGTTTGAGAGGTTCTTTGCAAGGGATGCAATTTCAGTTCCTATCTCTTCAAGTTTTCTCCATACCTACAGGAAAATTTAGGTTAAGGCATATATACATATGTATGTGTCTAAATACATAATTAGTAATGAAAAAAACTGGATCTGCTCCATGGAATAAGCTATTCACTTTTGGGGGATATTTTACAAGCATTTCTTCTCTTTGCAAGAAAAAGCTTCTGTGAGTGTGTTGCATTGTGCACCAAAATTAAGGAAAATAAAGTACACAACAATATCCACACAAAAAAATGAAGCAAGAATCTGCCACAAATACACCATGCATAGGCAAGAATAGTCAACTAGAAACAAGACAAACAGATCTAGTAAAAGCCTGTTTAAAAATAGGCAGCAAATCTCAAATCATTCAAAAGAATCGCAAATCTTTCATATACAAATAGAAGAAATTAAGGATTGATCTCAGGTCCCTCATCCATCCAAGTTCTTGGTATTACTCTGGTTTCACAAATCTACCTAAATAAAAGTGGTATATAAACCATAAATGTTGACTTCTAGAATGTTTTACATTAAGAAAAGAGAAAATTAGGTGACTGAAAACAAGATAATTTTTATGGATATCCTTCACAACAGTTCGACAATGTAGAATCCAACATCATCCAGCTAAGGCCCCAGACTGTAATACTGTTCTAAACATAACCAAAAGTAGAGCTTATAAAACTTCAATTCAATCAAAGTAACATTTCTAGTTTTAAACTAAGCAGCTCCATTCAAGCAATGTATGGTATGCAAATAAAAATTATTGCATAAATTACCTGCTGAATGTCTGATGAGAAAAGCATAGGCGATTGCTCATAAGCTCCACCTTTCATCCTTGAGTTCATGAGACTTAAGTGAAAGAATCTATCAAACTTGATCCCTTGGAAATTGTCAAATAGAAGCTTGCACAAGGATTTGAATTTTTCAGAAATTATAATTTCAAAGAAAACACGCTGACAAATCTCAGTGGTGGTTTGAGGTTTTGACTCCTTTGAAGAACTGTTAGATATAACAGCCTCCAGCTCCTCAGAATCCTTTAGATGAATCAGAAAATTAATATTTCAATACATCAGAAAGAAAATTGACTAGAGAAAGATCAGTGCAAGACATGATAGACGACATGGAGGTTAGATAAAAACATAAACCTTAAATGTCACATTACAACCATTTTCTCGATGAAATAAAAGTGCATCTTGAATGCAACGCTGTATACCACCTTCATCACCACTTAATAACTGATGCATGTGCTCCAATACAACATTTCTCCACTTCCTTTGTAAAAGATAGTTCTTTTCATTTAAAGAAGCACAATGATCAGTCCCAGGAAGTGTGACCTGCTCACAGTAAGTATAATCCATTAGCACGTCAAGCGTACTTTGTGGTCTGAAAAGCCAAACATCTTTCTTAAAAAGAACAAAAAAGACAAGAACTTATCAGTGCAAAAGGAATATTGGGTATTCATGAAAGAGAGAGAGAGAGAGAGAAAATCCTTATGTTTGGATAACATAGGGCCAAATCATAAATCTTGCTGTATATAATTCAGAACCTTTACACTATCATAGCTTGCTTCTCTAACTTCAGAAGCTTCTACTTCCTTAGTGACCTAAAGATAGCTAATAGTCTTAAACCAGTAATTTATTTCTGGGGTTTATATGTAATGCTGAAAAGATTTTCTTCATTAAAGATACAGGACACTTAAGGAATAGAAACATTAAACTTGTCAAAAACAACTATCACTTTCAATTATCATTGTAAGACAGGATAACAGGATTAAAATTCTCAAATACATTAGCCCCTATTCCTCTGAAAGACATGAGTGAAACACGCTGATGTTACCGTAAGAGAAAATTTTAACATTCTTCACATCCCACTCCCATTCAACACACATCTTGATGAATCCTTAGAGAACTACGTTGGAGGGCTAAGGCCAACTTTTAAGAATATTTGCTGAATAAACTTTCACTTGCAAATAATTTCTAGTCTCGTGGAAGAAGAAATTACATTTGCAAAAGAATCACCTTCTTTCAACCAACAAAGCCACCCAAATACTACAGGAGTTCCAAAATACCATCAACAAGAAACAACTACTCATTGTAAATTTCTAGGCACTGCAAACTTGCATATTTATGACATACTATGCACAATAGTTATAAACCTAATACAATAGCTTGAACTTTTCTTTTAAGTACCCAACAATCCAGTGAAATCTTCATCATACCCATAGGATAGTCTCCAATCAGATCGTTCCATCTCATTGCAAACAAGTTAATCTTTTTTATCAACAGCCTAAATGTACAATAAGTAAGCTCTTATGAAAAAAAATATATTGAAACATGGCCTGGTGAAAAGTACCTTAATCATCACATGCCCATCTCAGCATTAAACATTACAACAACACAAGAAAGTTAACAGCTACAACTGTAAACATACATATTCAGAAACATCTATCAAAATCTACCTGGTCTGATGATGCTTTACTGCCATCTTGCACTCTGATCTTTGAACACAAACTTAACTGTTTGCGCCTCTTATATGTTCGAAAACTCTCACTTGCTCCAGAATTTCCATCACCAGAATCATTCATACATTCATATCCACACCCATTACCCACTGGTTCACTCCTGAAGCACTTAATCTCCTCCCCACACTCTGTTTCTTCACCATTGCATGTCTCCTCCTGAAGACCCATTTTTACCATTCACAAAACCCTAGTTTCCAAGCATTTCAACAGAGAGTTAGGGTTTCACTGTTATAAACCAGCGTCATCTTCCGAATTCACAAAACCATCAAATAAACACTTTAAAATTATCAAATTCAGTGAAAAGAATCGTTATGAAACTAAGAAATCAAATAAAAAACCAACAAGTAAATTGAACCGAAAATAAACCATCCCCTGCTCTTTAATTACAGTAAAAACGATGAAAACAAAGGGGGGGGGGTAATACAAACTAAGCATAGTAGTTTAACAGAACTTCACTCTTCACTAAATTTTAAACTATTTAAAGTTCAAGAATTAGAAATTCCACTAGTTATACAAGTACGTTCTCTCCCTCTCCCTACCTGCATTTCTCCAGAACCAAGCAGCAAATAACAAAAAGAAAACTGATAATGAAAATGAAAGAATAATAAAGAGGGTATACCTGAGTTGAAAAATTGAGAGCATAAATCGAAATTTGAAACCCTAAAAAGATTTGAGAGAATGTGCTCAGTGTTATTTTTCTCTGAAACTTTAATCTTCCCTCTGCAACTTCTCGTCTTATCCCATTTCTTTAGTGTACTGTTTTATTTTTCCGTTTGTTTAGTTGGATCGGATCGAGACCGGATGATTCTGGTTGATAGCGAGTTAACACCAACAGGTGCCGGTTGTTTAGAGCAACTAAAATGATCAGTCCAAAAGTCAAAGCTCAAGTCAATTTACTGTTAGAATCTCAAACATATATTTCTGACCAATCAGGAAAACATATTTACTCAAATCGCCACATTCTCCAGGTAATTTTATGGGAATAATATTTATTTAATAATTATTTATATAATAATATTTAATTTAAAAATAATACTCCTTAATAAATAGTTATGTGGAATGAATTTGGACGAGTTTAGAAATTTTCATGGTAAGGAAAAAAATGAATGAACATGAAAATAAGAGGTTATAAATATTTAAAAAATTATAAAATTTATTTGGAAAGAAAACGTTAAGTGTGCTGTATCAGTTATATTAGACAACGACGTATCTATATGTAACACCCATAACCCGTATAATTATACCTATACAGATTATAGATGTCACCCGAATTTTCGAAAACCATTTGCATTTCAAAATACATTTAAAATTTATTTTCTTAAAATGGTAATTGATATTATAAAAATATCATATCATATAATTTATATTTTGTTACAGCAAATTTAATTCAAAAGTTTTTTTATGAATAGTGATGAACAGTACCATGAACAGTGTACTGGTATACTGCTACATTGACGTGAACAGTGCACCGACGCACCAAAATTTCGAATTATATTTGTGCATCGATGCACTGCTATAGTGACTGCTATTGAAAATATAATCAACATTACATCTTAGGATGTCTTACTGATATTGAAAATATACACCTCGATGCTTGATGTCGCTTTAAACTCTTTATTCCACTACTGGCTTTTTACCTACACATGAAAATCATCACACGCTAAGTATATACTTAGTGAGGCAATTAAAAATAATAATAGTGCAATACAATTCATGCATGATTTTCAATGTCAAATTCAAAATGCCATAAAATCATTTTATTTGCATATCCAATATTTTACCATTTATTTCCGTAAGCTTATTTTACCAACATACTTACCATTATTACCATAAGCTCGTAAGCTTATTTTACGAACATACTTGCCATTATTCCATAAGCTCGTAAGCCTATTTTTCATACTTACCATTTATTAGGCAATAAACTATTATCCATAGCCCATAGTATAACTGTATGAGGAACCTGGTATAAGAGTCAAATATTGCACCGAAGTGCTGAGGTCGAGCTTTGCTCACTTAATAGTGCACCGTAGTGCTGAGGTCGGGATTTACCCACCTAGTACACCGCAGTGTTTGTATTGTGTCTTCACTAGACACTAAGGCCTGCACTATGTGCCTTCTCTAGACACTCTAGTGCTACCTAATATGCAGCTGCTATACTCTATGATATGCCATTAATATCATTGATCCTCAATAACATACTTGGGCATATAGTCAATTTTATTTGATCCATCCATGGCAAAGTATATCAATATCATTTAATATTGGGCCGTTCATACCCGCAATATCATTAATGATAAAATCATATATATTCATGATAACATCATATGCAAAAATCAGTGATCATTATATTCCACCTTTGACATATTTAGAATATGCCAAATATATGATAAATGACATAATATCATGTTGTTATAAACAAGGTTGACTTATCGCAAGTCTTTCTGATGATGTATAAAATATCCATGTATAATTTCATGCATGTATTGCACTCATCTTGACACTTTATATCTTTCAAAATATGAGTCTCACTATGTTCCACAATAAACCCTTTTTATACTTGACTTGCTTCAATCGCAAATCAATCATAATCTATATATATCACAATTCATAACGATTACATATGTTAGTATTGTACTAACATAAACACATCCCAAAATAAATCCATAATATATTTGGAACTCATTTTCTACCAAATACTCAGTACTTAACAACTCATTTTAACATTGGATTTTCTACCAAATACTCAGTACTTAACAACTCATTTTAACATTGGAACCAACTTTTTCAATTTACACAACCCATCAATTTTCCAGAATTCAGACAACTCGCACTACATTTAAAGAATCAATATTTTGTATTTATGTACATACTGGAATTCAATTATGTTTCTTCCTTTAAAACCGAGACTCGAATACGAATTTATCCATATAAATAACTCCTTATAATTCATTATGTACAATTTATGGTGAATTTTTAAAGTTGACCAACATAATCTGTTTTACAGAATCTGCTGTCCGATGTTTCTGACCTTTCCTTGGTTAAAAATCCATATCATTTTGTACACACCTTGAAATTGATCCCCGTTTGTTTTAAAGCAAACTAGATCGATATATGAACACAAATATATAAAACTAACCTCGAAATTTTTTTATATAAATTATTGTGAATTTTCGAACCTACTGTCAAATTTAAAAATCCAAACTGTTTTCTTTAACTTCATTCATAGTTTCTTCATCATTTCTTACAACCAATTCTTTAAAATCACTTAACTCTTCAAAACCCATAAAACACAATAATCAACATACCCTTCATCAACTCAAGATGAACTTGAACATGAACCTTGTAATATTCATGTCAAAACGTAGAGAATTGAACTCATAATATTTTTCATAATCACACCTAAGTGTAATTCTCAACAAGATTGCTTCAAAATTCAAAACAAAAATACCTACCTTGCAAGCTTGAAGATGTCGGTCTTGGATGAAGAAGAAGCTGAAATATTCCCCCATTATTTTTATTCTAATGTTAATTATATCTAGCACATGCTTAATATAATATCATAATGGAATTTTTTATTCCATTCCATAAGAATTTCCATTTTTGCCCTTAATGAATCTCCCTATTCACCATAAAACCAAGCCACCTGATACATATCATATTACAAAGTCAAATATGAATTAATTTGACTTTTATTTCTGAAATTCCCCTTAAATTTTCAAAATTTGTGTTTTAGTCATTAACTTTCACTGTTTCGGTTGAATCTGAAAAATTGCACATTTCCAAACCAAATTTCTCTGATCCAAAATATTAAAATAATATTTCCAACCATTTTATAACATCCTTCAATTTTTTGTAAAAATTCCAATTCGATCGGAATTACCGATTTCCTTACCGGCTTTAACCCTTTCTAGTTTTTCTTTACTAAAATTCCAAATCCAAAAATATGATTTCTATAAAACTCCACTCTCTAGAGTAAACCATCTATTTATGGAATAAAATTCTTTTTAGGAAATTATCACTTAATTCCCTAAACTTTTTCCCAATTTTCTACTTTGACCATCAAACTTTCCAAATTTTTATTTTGGTCATCGTCTAAATTTTTAGGGTATTACAATTCTCCCATCCTTAAGAAAATTCATCCTCGAATTTTAAAACTTTATAAGAAAACACTAACTCCATTTTTATAAAGAAGTTTATCCAAAATGAATCCCACCAAAATAGGGATTTTTTAAAAAAAACTCTCATCTTTCTCTAAAGATAAGAATAATTCAATAGTCTTTCAATCATCACTAAATTCCTTTTTCCCTTGTAACATCCTCAACATTATGATTTTTCTAAATCACTTTAACTAGAGAAATCGTCTTGTTAGGCAGTTCTTTGATTTCTCGAGCTAAGATCCAAATGGATTATTCTTCATAAATCAAACCCCAAATTTTCCTTTATTTAAATGACATATAAAAGCTCTGGTCGATACTTTCCAAGCATCGACACATGAAAAAATATTGTGTACTTTGTCCAAATCTAGATCACAATTACCTCCATAGTTAATGCTAACTAATAAGCCATCGGTCTAACTGTTTTTAATATCTCATAAGGTCCAATGAATCTTAGACTTAGTTTTCCTTTTGCAGTCAAAACACAAAATTTTGTTTTCCAAGGCAATAGTTTAAGAAAAACTTTATCACCTTCAGGAAATTCAATCTCTTTTCACTTCAAGTCTACATAAGACTTTTGCCGATCCAATATCATCTTGAGATTATCTTTACTTCATCCTCAACCTCTTTCAATAAAAATCTGGGTCAACAAAATTTTGATCTTTTAACTCGAACCAATTTAATGATGTTCGACATTTTCTCCCATATAAAACTTCATACTGAGCCATCTTGTTACTCAATTGATAACTGTTATTGTAGGAAAATTCTACTAAAATCAAATACTTTTCTTTTCCCATGATATCCTTGAAATCAATCACACATACTCTCAACATATCTTCTAATATATGAATAGTACTCCCTAACTTACCATCCGTCTGTGGATGAAAGTCGTATTAAAATTCAATCGAGTACCCAATGCTTTATGCAAAGAATTCCAAAATCTTAAACTAAACCTTGGATCTCTATCCAATATAATGGATATTGATACTCCTTGTATTCAACTATCTCCTTGATAAACAACTCTGTATATTTATCCACTGCATAGTCCATTCACATTGAAATGAAATATGCCGATTTAATTAACCGGTCATTATCACCCAAATGAAATCCTTTTTATTTGATATCAAAGGAAATTCATTAACAAAATCCATAGTATTTTTTTCTACTTCCACTCTGGAATAGAAATCAGTTGCAACAATTACAAAAGTACTTGATTCTCAGCTTTTACTTGTTGACATGTCAAACATGTACCAACAAACTCAGTAATATTTCTTTTCATACCTAGCCACAAAAATAACTCTTTACATCATGATACATTTTTCCCCACTTATATGCATAGTCAGTGGACTATAATGTACCTGAGAAAGAATATCTTTCTTCAATTCATCATTATGTGGAATACAAATTCTTCCTCGATAATACAGACATCCATCTAATTTGATTTCAAAGTCTTTAGTCTCACCTTTTTCCACTAGTGAAATCTTTTCCAAGCATTTGCCATCTTTCTTTTGTAGCTCTATTATCCGATATAAAAATATCGGTTTTACTTTTAATTAATCCAATAGTGCACCATTTTCTT